TCTCTCTCTCTCTCTCTCTCTCTCTCTCTCTCTCTCTCTCTCTCTCTCCCCCTGTCTCATGGTGTTTTGGGAAAACTAAATCCAAGTCCTTGTACATACAAGTTTGGTAAGTGTTCTACCACTAAGGTACAACCGGATGGTTTTCATTTTTTAAACATATTTTACATGTAAACATGTTTTGCATGCATGTAAGCATGTGCATCACATGTATGCATTGCCTGAAGAGCCAGATGAGGGCACTGAACTCCTTGGAACTGGAGTTATAAATAGTTGTGAGCTGCCATTTGGGTGCAGGGAACTAAACCCAGGTCCTCTGGAATAGTAGCTAGGGCATTTTAAAAGCTGAGCCATCTCTCCAGCCGCATAATTTTCTGTTTTTTTTTTCATACTTTTCATCTTTTAAAAAAGGCAAATTATTAGCCAAAGGAGATAGCTTAGCAATAGAGGTGCTTACCACCATGCCTGACACCCAAGTTCAATCCCTGGGACCCACACAGGGGAAAGACTCTTGAAGGTTGTTCTCTGACCTCTGTGTGTGTGTGGTATGATACATGAACAGCTCCACACATAGCACAAATAAATAATAAATTTTAATTTAAAAAGCAAACTTACTTTGATTTCTTAAAGAAAAAAAAACCTAGACATGTAGAAGAGGAATATAAAGCAGTTATAGAAAATGACATATAGAATATGTCTACAGAAGAGATGCTGGAGAGATGCCTCTGCAGTTACAGTACATAACTGCTCTTGCAAGGAACCTGAGTTCCATTCTGAACACCCACATTGGGTTGGGTACCTGAAAACCACTTGTGAATCCAGGTATAGGATATCAGTGCCCTCTGCTGGCCCCAGTAGGAACTGCACACATGCAAGAGTGGATATCATTGCCCTCTGCTGGCCCCAGTAGGAACTGCACACACACACAAACACACATACACACACACTTAAGAGAACAAAGTCAAGAGAAAAAAACAGCCATCAGATAGGCATTCACAGCCCATGAACTCACCTCAGGACCTACGATCACCATGTAAACATTGGGTGTTTCTTGATGCCATTCTTGGGAAGGAAAAGAAGAAAAAAAGACTTAGAATGGAGCTAGCATGGCTTCAAGTCATAGCTTAGAAAACAATTCAGCTTAACTACAAATTACTCCACAGTTGAGTTTTGTTCTCTTAGCTTATTAATTATTCATTCATGCTAGCCAGGGTCAATTTCATTTATTTAGAATGCCTATATATGTCATTATACGCTTTTACTTAAAGAATTGTTTCTTTTTGGACTGAAGCAATGGCTCAGTGGCTAAAAACACTTGCTGCTCTTGCAGAGGATCAGAATTTAGTTCCCAGAAACCACATGGCAGCTCACAATTGCCTATAACTCTAAGTCTGGGGGAATCTGATGCCCTCTTCTGGTATCCACAGGTACTGCATACGCATCATACACATATAACACTGGCAGACAAACACATACAATAACAATAAAAGGATCTTTATAAAAAATGGTAAGACTTTTTAAAAATTAATTTAGACACATAATTGGTCCCAATTTGTCTGACATCCTTCCCACCTGAAGCTGCAAGTCTATACAGAGATATTAATCCTGAAAGTTACCAAACATTTACTGGCCGTTTCCAAAGTGATCATCTTGGAACAGTCTGCTTATATGCAATGAACAAAGGGGGCAGGGGGACGGTCCCACTGGGCAAGACAGCTCACACTGTAACTCTTGCCCTTAGGAAGCTGAAGCAGGAGGATTGAAAGTTGGAGGCCAGCTGGGAGCATCCAGTAAGAACAGAAAGCCAAGTCACATCTCTACTTGCAAATCCCCATGCCAAGGAGGGCGTAACACATACCTGAGAACGCATCCACCAGGTACAGAGGATCCTTCACGGGTCTGAGTCCACATATTATAAGGAATATGTACAGGTCATCAGCACTTTGGTCGATCTCTGCAGCATAAGAGGGTGGGACACTTCTTTGGGCATGGAAGATACAGCTAAGTTACCCAGCAACAGTGATGACATTGTGGCAAGCAGACCAGAGGTCGGCAGCTCACACTGGCCTTCCTGGTCCTAGTGTGTTCTCTAAATGCCTTGCCACGTGCATTAGCTTCTCCAAGCATAGGTAAGCCTGAGCTTTCCTCTAGCTATGAAAGGCAAGGTCTCTGCCATAGAGGGGGAAGGATGGGGGGTTTGGGGATGGAGGGTGATCCAGCCACTACTGATAGAGTCAGCAGGCCCAGGAAAAACTTGGGCAGCTTCAGTTGATGCAGCGAGAAAAGAGGCTTACGGCTGACTGGGGAATTCACAGATGCGTGGTAGGTATGAGCATATGTCCCTGGGAATAGGAAACACACACATACGTCTCTCCGTCCTGTTGTTTTTTCTGCATTTGCCAGTTGGATTTGTCAACTTTACCCCAGAAAACTGTAACAGTTCTAAAAGTAGACATGTATGTTTATCGAGTGGGATTTTTCCCCTCTCGTTTGTTTATGTTTTGTTTCTTGTGGGTAGTACACGAGATAGTGTCTCCTATAATAGTCCAGGCTGGCCTCAAACTTGCCGTGGAGCTGAGGAGGTCCTTGAATTTCTGATTCTCCTGACTGCACCTCCCAAGTCTAGGACTACAGGCAGATAGCACCCTGCCCAATTTCATGCAGGGCTGGGATCGAACCCAAGGTTTCCTGCATGCTAGAGAAGCATTCTACCAACTGAGCTATATATGTATAGATTTTTAAAAGACAGAGAGAGAAAATGGTTGGGGACATGGCTCAGTGGTTAAGAGCACTGGCTGTCCTGGCAGAGGACCCAGGTTCAATACCCAGCATCCACATAGTAACTCCAGTTTCAGGGATGTGATGCCCTCTTTAGGCCTCTGTGGATACATACTGACTAAATATACACAATAATAATAATAATAATAACAACAACAACAATACATACAGACTAAACACTCATACACATTAATAATAATAATAATAATAAATAATAACAATAATAATAAAAATAAAAATACAAGCTTTGCATGGTGGTGTACACCTTTAATCCTGGCACTCAGGAGGCAGAAGTGGGCAAATCTCTGAGTATGAGGCCAGCCTGGTCTACAAAGCAAGTCTCAGGGCAGCCAGGGCTATACAAAGAAACTTTGTGGGCTGGAGGGATGGCTCAGTGGTTAAGAGCACTGACTGCTCTTCCAGAGGTCCTGAGTTCAATTCCCAGCAACCACATGGTGGTTCACAACCATCTGGAATGGGATCCGATGCCCTTTTCTGGTTTGTCTGAAGACAGTGACAGTGTACTCATATACATACAATGAAATAAATAAATCTTTTTTTTTAAAAAAAGAAGCTTTGTCTTGAAAAACCCAAAATAATAATAATACAGAGAAGGCTTAGGAGTGCCATATCTATGAAGCAGGACAGAAGTGGGCACCGGCCTTAGTGACCCTTCTTATGATCAAAAGGAAGGAAGGAAGGAAGGAAGGAAGGAAGGAAGGAAGGAAAAAAAAGGAGGAAGGGAGGGAGGAGGGAAGGGAAGAGAAGGGGAAAGGGGGAAGGGAAAAAGAGAAAAGAAACAGAAGAAAAGAAAGAAAATTCTGGGTGAATATGATCAAGATGCTTATATGTTGGGGCAGGAGAGCGGTCATGATGGTTAAGAGTGCTTATTGCCTTTTTTTTTTTTTACCCCTGGTCTCTAGAGAGGGAATTTCCCTGGCCAACAAAAAGAAGGACAAGTGGCTATGTATGACCTTTAAGCCTTGGTTGTGAAAGGCCTTGTTACTCCTTGGTCATCTGGCCACACAACCTTCTTGGAACAAAAGTCTTGACAAAGAGACTCATGCTGGCAGCGTGAGGTCCTCCTGGCCCTGAGGTGAAGCTAGGCCTCCAGCACATGTGAGCATTTCGGGAACAGCATTGACAGACCTAGAACAGGCAGGTGCCCAGCTGAGCCACGAAAACCACAACAGCTCACGCCCACAGAAATCATGAGAAACAGCCACGGTTGTCTGAGGCCAGGAAGTCTTGAGGTGTTTTATAGCAACTGTTAGATAATTGGTTTAATAGCAACTATTAATAGAGTCAGCACAAAAGCTGGTCTAAAATATCAGCATTTACAGCCTGTGTAATTGGCCATAAAACCGTGCGCATGCAAGGTTGTCTTTTCCAGGATGGGCACTTGTCCATATATATTTTTTTTTCTAAGCTTACCTAAGTCTTGAGAATGCAAGTGGCATATGGCAGGTGTCATACATGTGCATGAGGGACATTGTGATGGTTTCTACATGACTTGCCCAGGGAGTGGCACTATTAGGTATAGCCCTGTTCGAGTAGGTATGTCATTGTGGATGTGGGCTATAAGACTCTCATCCTAGAGCCGGGCGGTGGTGGCACACGCCTTTAGTCCCAGCACTTGGGAGGCAGAGGCAGGCGGATTTCTGAGTTCGAGGCCAGCCTGGTCTATCGAGTGAGTTCCAGGACAGCCAGGGCTACACAGAGAAACTCTGTCTCAAAAAAAAAAAACAAAAAACAAACAAAGAAACAAAAAGACTCTCATCCTAGCTACTTGGAATCCAGTCTTCTGTCTGCCTACAGATGAAGATGTAGAACTCTCAGCTCTTCCTGCACCATGTCTGCCTGGACACTGCCATGTTCTCGATTTGATGATCATGGATTGAACCTCTGAACTTGTAAGCCAGCCCCAATTAATTATCCTTATAAGAGCTGCCTTGGTCATGGTGTCTGGTAAAGCAGTAAAACCCTAATGAACACAGACATGGTCAGCACAGATAATAGAATAACGAGAGTGACTCTGGACAGAATCGCACTGACAGTGAGGAGTGACAGCCTTGTCCTAGGAAAGCACAATCATAGAAGCTGGAGGTGTATCTCAGTGGTAATGTGCTTGCCTTGCATGCCTGAACATCTTGGTTTGATCCCCAGCACAACCCACATAACTCAACACACACACACACACACACACACACAGTTCTGAGCCAGGTGTGATGGCATATCCTTTCAATCTTAGTAATTAGAAGGCTATGTCAGAAGGATAGCATCAAGGCTGGGGCCAGCTACACAGTGAGTTTAAGACCAGCATGTACTATACAACAAAAGCCTGTCTCAAAAGGAAGGAAGGAAAGGAGGATGGGAGGAAGGGAGGAAGGGAGGGAGGGAGGGAGGGAGGGAGGGAGGGAGGGAGGGAAGAAGGGAGGAAGGGAGGAAGGGAGGAAGGGAGGAATGAGGGAAGGGAAGGGGAAAGAGGGAACGGAAAAAGAGAAAAGAAACGGAAGAAAAGAAAGAAAATTCTGGGTGAATATGATCAAGATGCTTATATGTTGGGGCAGGAGAGCGGTCATGCGGGTTAAGAGTGCTAATTGCCTTTGCACAGGACCTAAGTTTAGTTACAGGCACCCAGGTGGCAGCCCTCAAGGGTCTGCAACTCTAGCTCCAGAGAATCCGATGCCCCCTGCTGCCCTCTTCAATCACTGCACCCAAGAGCTTCTATCCACACATAGATACACATACATAATTAGAAATAAAACTTCAGAAATAAAACATTACATACATGTGTGAAAATGTTATAATATGTAATGTCATTTATACATTTTATGCCTAATGAATATAAGTATAAAGTTACCACAGTCTCTGAATTAACTTCTGACAATATCACTAAGCCTCATTGAGGGTTTCCTAGGCCCTCCTCAGTATGTTGAATCTAACCGCAAGCAGACAAACCTTAGTGAGTGCATATTTGACTAAAGTCTCAGCCGGAAGCTACAGCTAGAATGTGGTCTCAAGGTCGGAGAATTGGAATTCAGGCACCGGAATCCAAGGTCAGGAGTCAAGCGAGTGTCTTTAATAAATGATAAGCTCTTCTCCTTAATAAAAATCTTAGGGGAAGAAGGGTCAAAATGAGAAGACAGCCAAAGCCTTCGTTCCCAGAGAAGAGCAGCTAATGTTTATCTGATCCTCAGACTGTAAGTCTGCAGGGGATGGACATCAAAATTACCTTCCCAGACTTGCGTATTCATTTCAAAGGAAATACAATTCTGTACACGGGGAAAAACAGGGAGAAGGCACCTTAGCTAAAGCAGGAGGCCACAGTCCTACACACAGGACCTGTGCATTCACATGTACGACCCACACGCCACCCACACACACCCCACACTGCCACATAGATACATATATAGCATGTGTAGGTACAGGAGTCTGTGTACTCAAAAATTACCATCAGCAACAGGACAATCCAACCAGGACCAGAGCAAAACACAAGTCCAGTCTACTCCCACCCTCGATACAGGGAGATGCATTAAATCCATGAAAGGAGGAAGAGGAAAGACAGTGGGAGAACCATGAGTACCCCCCCCCATTGAATAGGGAGAAAAATATAAATATGTAATCCAAATGCTACACCAAGATGACATTCTAGAAACTCACAGAATTGCTTGGGGAGACCTGGCACCTGGTAAAACGACTGTTCTGTGCCCCTGTGTGATGTGGTGCTGAGGACACATTCCTCCCTGCTTACCTGGATCACCTGCCTTAACTGCTTGAACATCTGTTTGGCCCAGTTAGGGGGTACTGCACCAGTTGCCAGTTGGGAGGTACTAGGGAAACCTAGCCTTGTGCCTCCTGGGACCCTGAGGGTTTGGAAGGACAGCCCTGGGATGAGACTGGTCCAGGGACCTCAGCTCTGATTTCTGCAGGATGCTGCCTATAACTCTCAGGAAGATATGCACCTTATTGCAGCTGAGAAGCCATGATGGCTGAGCATCACATGCCGTGGTTACACACAATAAAACCATACTCCAGGGGCTGGAGAGACTCCAATGGTTAATTAAGGGCCACTTCTGCAGAGGACATGGAGTCAGTTCCCATCACCCATCCAGCAGCATACAACCACCTGAAACTCCCAGTTCTGGGGATCTGATATCCTCTTCCGGCCTCCAT